ACATTTATCCCGAGAAAAAATTGACATGGGGAATAATGTGAAAGGCACTTCGCGCGTGGTCGGAGTATTCTTCAAACGGTTGTTGGAAGAGGGTATCTAAAGTAAGGTGTTCTCCTTGGGCAGGATGTAGCACACCTCCACGGCTCAAAAAGTTACAGCCTTGTGATGCCATCCAATCGCCGTTGATCTCAAGAAGGCCTGGAGAACCGGCATCAGCTTAGAGCAGCCATTTGAAGACGATGAACAACTTTCGTGCAGGCTCGGAGATAGAGAATGACGCTATAATGAAGCAAGACACCCGCTCTCTTTCCGGTCCCTGTGGTTCATGATTATTTTTCATGAATTAGCCCTGCGAAACACTGAACCTCAGGCGCTTTGGAATTCGAGTCAGTGACGGATGCAGAGGATACACGGATTGGAACCTGTATCCGATGTTCAGGGTACCCTTTTATCTTTCAGTCCGTGCGGAAAAAAGTTTCAGAGTACTTTTCACGAGCGAAGTGTCTTTTTTGTTGACCCCCCCTTCGCATGTTCAAGTCCTGGAGAAGCTTCTCCCCATTACTCAGTATGACTAGGCAACATTAGCTGCCAACTAGGACTACATATGAGCAGCAGTTATCGTTGCAAAATTAATTTAGCACATTCCGGACCGCCGTTCTGCGAGGATCTCCGCATCATTTCGTCACTTTTTGAATCGATAATCAGTAACTTCATCTGCTTCTTTCACATACTTACGAGATATGTGTATTCCCTGTCTAGAAACGTGGGAACGTTTGGAATATGAAAAGGATGCCAAATAGACCATACGAAGCAGCCAGAGAGAAAAATGTAAGATGGAGCTAATAAAGCAAATGGCCGTTTTTTTTCAATTCCGATAAAGTGAAACGTTTTGCAAGGCAAGTTAAATATAGTCGTCTTGATAGGAAACTTCTCGATAATATAAGAATATCAAAAAAGCTTTGGTTGAGGATATAGTTTTTGTGAATTTTTTTAGTCGTTGAAGTTGGAAGTGAAGTCGGCGAAAATTAGCATCTTCGACAACTGCCTCTATTTAGAAATTTCATGCTAATAGTTGAAATAATTGAATTGAATTCGATATTTAATACTAGAGAAGTTTGCTATTAAGAATGTTAAGCTTGTTGCGAACTTTTCACTTTCGAACAATTCTTTCAGTTTGAAAAAACGGCCATTATTGGTTGCCAGTAGCAGTTATTAGAGCCCAGATAGCAGTGGGCTGGCTAATAAGTAATGGCCGTTTTTTCAATCGAAAAATTTGTTCCAAAAGTAAAACGTTTTGCAAGCAAGCTTAATATCGTTTAATAGCAAACTTCTCGTAGTATTAGAATATCAGATTCAGTTAATTCAATTTATTAAGCTATTAGCATGAAATTTCAAGTGGAACAGACGTGAGCCTGCCAATATTGGCAAGGTGAAGGTTGCAACTTTGAAATTCTTGAAATTAGTTCCAAAGCGTCCTATTGGCGAATTCCCTTGTCAGACTTTACCATCAACTTTTCCGAATGATGGAGCAGCTTAAGGATTTTAGCATCGAGTAATAGAGGAAGTTGTCGAAGATGCTAATTTTCGCCGACTTCACTTCCAACTTCAACGACTAAAAAATTCACAAAAACTATATCCTCAACCAAAGCTTTTTTGATATTCTTATACTACGAGAAGTTTCCTATCAGATGATATATAACTTGCTTGCAAAACATTTCACTTTTCGAACGAATTTTTCAATTGAAAAAAACGGCCATTACTTAATAGCCAACCTAATATAAGACACACCATGTGTGCCACTTTGGAACGTGTTGAAGGCAGGTGCGCACGCATAAATCCCGAGAGTAGGCTTGACTGAACCTGGTAGCGACGGAATTCTGCGCCTCCTGAGCGGGCGCTGCGTACCGCCTATTCCAGGGAAGGTGCCCTTATAAGTTCCTATCAAGCTGCAACATACCAACCCTGATGCCCACCACGCCCACCCGACTACAAATGGAGGACCGTACAGATGCTCGTATTGTTCATTTGCCAATAAATATGAAGTGAAGGGGCATCATGTTGAAGCGGCCGCTACTGCTGCATGGATATAATGAGTGATGAAGTTACCGTACCTATTCCATAGGTGTTATTGCAAGATGCTACGGAGAACTGCGTCCAGAATTGCTTTCTAAAATTATTAAGAACGAGGCCTTTCTTCCACTTCTGACTCGTATCAATTTCGTTTTTTTTTGCGCTATTTTTCCCGCTTATATAGCATCCTGCTCGCATTTTAGACCGAGTACCAAGTTGTCGTGCCATATGTCCTTGAAGAAGGCATGACATGAACCCATAAGGTTCGCATAATTGCTGTTGGTATTATGTTCCATTTATCATATCTAATATTGTCCTCTCAAAACAATGGTCCTACATGAGCTGCCCAATGTCCTGCTCCACCATTGTCTCAAAGCACAAATCGTTCTTGCCACTTTGAACTCCTGACAAGTCACTCAAATAGTTTTTGTGGGTTAGGCAACCAAGGCTAAAAACCGCTTGAAGTTGCGGAATGTTGGGAGCAAGGGAAGACGAATAGCCTTGCGACCTCATTAATCAGGATAGAACTCAAGAAGATTACACAAGCTGTTACTGGGTACACAGCAGTTCTCTTGAGCGTGGAATGCATAACAGCCAGTCGTTCCACAAGGTACCGAGGGGTATTGAAGTTTATAATTTTAGGATGTTCACAGTCGGAGACTTGGCAGTCAGCAACACGATTCTCTTCACAGCCAACATCGGCCTTGGTTTCTACGTCTACTATCGCCACCATTTGCACCGACTTCGACCGTGGGATCGTGTAGAATTCAGGTATGCATTGTAGGGGCTCTTATTTGATTGGCTCTCGCTGGTACATATTTGCTATTGGTTCACTAATTGCTGCTGTTGTTTCAGCGTTTTTTCAACCACCATTTTCAATTTTGGCAGCTTATTAGCTGCAGTTCTGATTAAGGCCCTTATACCCAACAAGTAAGTTCGCTTGTTTTCCCACTACAGTTTCAATGGGGCAGCTTCTTTCGTTTCAGGACACCCACATGGACACGCTGCTTGTTGGGTTCGGCATTGAGTGTCTATCTTCTATCCAGAGCACACAAGTATTTGCGCTATGTGGACGAACGGTCTGCTCGGAAATCGCCCACCCCGCGAAGGTATATCTAGGTGCTATCATATCGGCAGAAGTCGGGGAGGCAATTATCCAACGAGTGCAGTACCTCCGTCATTCACATCGTAAGAGAAAAAAAATGAGAAGAAATGAAAACCATTCGGTTCAGTGCTAGTATAGATAAAATAGATAACTCAGCAGAGCATCAGAATCCTCTACCTCTGCGCTTCTGCGATAAGCAGCCGGTCGTTCATTACTTGTTACTGTATCACCATTTCGCCTCTCTGCAGCGGTACTGCTATTGTACTCATGCAGTCTTATAGTCTTTGATGTGCCTAATAATCGCAGCAACCTGTCCGCCTCATTTAACGGCATATTTAGAGCGGCTAGGGTCAGGCCATTTTTTTCATTTAGATACTACTATCTTGCAAAAATTGACAATACTTCAATAGGCTGTGAAGCAGAGAGGCCAACGTTTGACGCAGCTCCTTATTTGTGGAAATGAACATCGTTCAGAAGTCTAATAATTCAGATTCAGCAAGGGAACTGCCAGCCTTCTAGTGAACTACTCGGCTACATACTAATTCTTATGTACCTGTCTTTGATCACAGCTAGACTGATATGTAACTTAGAGATGGGCTTCCGTCTTTAGTGCGCAGTGACTCCTCCCCATTCAGTTCGCCTCATTAACAGCTGAAAACCAATTAGTGTTGGCTGCCAACTTGGAAACCTTTCTGCGAACCTGCAACATCGGGGAGCCCTACGTGGTCGCCCCTGATTGATCCAAAGCTCAAATAGCATAATCCGTCGTGGATCAGCACTGTCGCTAGAGCTCCTGCTCGAAGGTGGAAGACGCGCAGACTTACTGATGTTTTTTTTGAGCACTCAGTGGGTTGCCTCTAAGGAAGAATTCGATGGTACGTGCACCCGGTTTAATCGATGTGTCGGTTTTTCTGTTGTATGCCTAGGGTACGAAATCTGTAAGGGAAGGTCGTACTTGGTTGTGAGAGGAGTCGGTCTCGAGAGAGATTCCCCTCCACTTCTTTGAAAAGTTTTGGCGTGATATCACTGAAGATTTTGATAAGAAGCGATGTGAGTTGTGAGAGGTTGGGTTCGTACAGAGAGAAAAAGGGCGTGCGGCGTGGGACGGATCGTACTGACGCTCTTGTTATCAAGCCATCGCCATTGCTGTCCCTGAACGCACCTGATACATCGTCGCGTTAAAACACATGCGGTGGCGCACTCTACCGCTGGGAAGGAGGGGGGGGTCGTATTTGGTCGTTGCTGGGAGAGTAGGAGTAGGAAAATGTTCGGAAAACTCCGGAAAAAGTGGTATGAAGTTGGGAAAAATCTAAGGAATTTACCCGTGCTACATACCCCCCCCCGCTCGACGGAAAATCCTTAGGTGAAAAACTGGAGAATCTGGGGGAAATTGGTGGGTAGGTGTTGGGGAAGGGGGCAGGGTCGTATCGAGATCCTCCTCGACGTGGGGGGTGGTATTGATGCCTCGAGGGGTCGTACTGACACTACCATTTCACACATTACGATGCTGTAAACTGAATGCGACACTACTTCCCGTTGTGCTGCCCACCATGAAAGTTCCTGGTGCGTGACGACCCTGCTTGAGGATCTTTATAATCTATGCATTCCCTCTTCACTTTATAATTATTTATAATCTATGCATTCCCTTTTCACGACATTTCTATGGTCAACAAGTTAAAAACTGGCAGAGCAAAGTATCCAGGAATCAGTCTGACGTATCTTTCCAATGGAGCGCGACTGAAGTGACTGAAACTAGCGCACACAAGGCTATCACAATTTTGGGTCAAAGGAGACTCTGCCAATGTCCTACTTGTTGTATTACACTGCTTGTGCGGTTATTGACTTGTTTTTAAGGTCTTCAACTGGTTTAATTTGATTGCATTATTTACCAGATAGTTTTCGACATATCAAACAAACTGAATTTATCCGTTCAGTGGCCGTTCTCCGATCGTCCATATGGAGAAAAACGGTCGTGCTCCGTACGCACAAACCCATCACGTCAATGGTCACGAAAAAACTGCAGTGGCCAACGGACACGAAGCTTCCATCGTCGCCAATGGACATGGCAGTCAAACACTTCATGATGGTGACGCTTCAAGCGGATACGGGACGTTGCGGAATGATGCATCGTTGCCTCAACCGTAATCATGCACGGAGTGCAGACATGGCACGAATTTGGTGAACAGCGCCGTTGGATCGGTGTTGTCTGATCTCCTTGACATTGGACGATGTTTTTCAATTTCCTAGGCCCCATTAGATCCCCTTTGGACGACTTTACGCGTTTCAAACCAACTGGTAATTCTGTGCTTTTGCGTGGTGCGGTTCCTTTGAATGTGTGTGTTTGTTATTCACTTTACTCTGTGTTCTGTTGAATTTTAGTGTAGTATTAATTGTCAAAATTGGAATTCCTTTAAACCCGCCAAAGTCAAGTCGAGTAGAACTGTTGATAGAGAAGAACTATTGTGTGTTCCATTCGTTGTACATATCCGCTCCACAGTTTAGCAGGTCGTTTGTTCACATCCCGTAGGCGATTCTAATAAGGCTCAAAAATCGCCTGAAGTGAGCTCTGAATGGAAATAAATGATTTATTTGAGACGAAATTCATTGCACAGCAAATTTGAGCCCAAAGAACACGTTAACATAATAAAGAAGGAGGACAATAAAAGGGAAAGAGCGACAAGCAGACGTATAGGCTTATTTAAATTAGATTTTGATGCCATAATGGTGGAAGGTTTCCCACCGCAGTACCTTAGGGTTTCTAGCAGCAAAGTTCTCGTGCAAAAATAAGCAAGATGAGCTGATTTTGGTGAATAGGGTCGGATCGGGGGGCTCAGGTTCACACTGTGGAGTGAATCGAGGACGTTTGACTTCTTATATCGTTTGAGCGAGCTGATCGACTGGTCACAATTTCTACACGAATTTCCAATTCAGCGGAACAAATCTGTTGATGTCTACCTAGTTCTATCGATTGAATGAGGGATTGCAACTGCATTCCAGTACAAGTTATACAGTTCCATTTTCCAAAGAAAGTGACTACGAACTAGTATTGTTGAGGAGTAAAGTGTGTCGATCAGCCCAGATGTTGCAGAGACGATGGTGACACTTGTTATCTCTGCATCTCTTGCTTATGCATGCATTTTGCAGTAGGGCTGGCCATTCTTCGCGAAGAAACTCTCGCCTTCCAAATTTGAATGGCAGCGCTGAAAAGCGAAAGGTTTCCAGTAGTTCTGTGCATCGCTAGCAGATCAATGATGGGTTCTTACCGTGCAGTTGAAGCAGTTCGAGTGGAAGGCATTGCCAAGTGCTTCCACCCACCTGTCACCAGCCTCGATCGG